TATTACACATTCAGATAAAGTATTATAAAGTGTTTTTTTGTTTTTTTTCTGTTGTAGAGGGACACTCACAGAGCTTCCGATCGATTTAAAGGCAGGAAACATCTTTAATTTCCTTCTGTTTAGAGTTAAAATATCATTATTGTAGACATGGCCAGGTTCTGGTCTCCTGATGGGTCCCAGAGTCAGAACTAAACCAGCTGAAGCTTCATTTCATATCCAAGTTCCTAAAATCTGGATCAGACTTCTTGAAGATGTGAGACAGGTTTCAACTCTGAATGTTTAAATCCAGATGAAAACGCTTCTGTTTAACCATAATATGGAAATTGAACGTATTTTATCTGCACCCTTCACTTTTCATCTGTTTAATTTTGATTAATTTTCTTTCTTTCTTTCTCTGCTTTTAAATTCTCTGTGAAGCACTTTGAATTGTCTTGTACACGAAATATGCTGTAAAATAAACCTGCCTTGCCTTCATTAATGTCTGTTGTGGGATTTCCAGTGTATCACTAATCTCCTGCACAGCTGAAGTGGATAGTGATGGTAAACAGGAATATTAAACATTCAGATAAACTAGTACAAATTGTTTTTTGTTTTTTTCTGTTGTAGAGGGACAATCACAGAGCTTCTGATCGATTTAAAAGGCAGGAAACATCAATAATGTCCTGGAATTTAGAGCTTTTATCACTGAATGATGCAAAAAGTCTCAGATCCAAAAGACTTCAGAAACCGTATCAGATATGACACATTTGGCATTATAGGGTTAACCCTGTAATGCCAAACATATCATATTTGATTCATACGGTTTCTGAAATGTTTTGCATCTGACCTTTTGCATAATTTAATGGTAAAAACTTTGCTCAAAATCCTATTGTTCACAATCAGATACACCTGATAACAGGGGGCAGAAGACTACACAAAAAATAATCTGGATTTATCGCATAGTAATAAATTATTAATATTAAAAATGTATTTTTCTTTTTACATATTTTGTTAAAAGGACAAACAAAGACTTCAAACCAAAAAAAAGTAATTTTCTGCTTTGTTTTATTCTTGGATCGGGCTTTAAAGGGTTAAGAGCTAAATCTCTGCTTGTTGTTTTCTGCTAAACCTTTTTGAATAAACACAACCTTATCCTGTAGCACATCAGTCCACATGCACTGAGCTCCTGACATGGAGGCACAATCTCTCCCCTCTAAAGGACAGTTATCCCTGTACCTGGCGTGTCCCCCTGCAGCCGGAGGGCCTGCGCCCGGTTGTTGTAGGCGGAGGCTTTTTGAGGCAGGAGCTGGATCGCCTCGCTGAAAAGCTGAAGAGCGGCGTTCAAATCCCCGGCCTCCGCGGCAGAAACCCCCCCCCTCTCCAGCTCCCTCACTCGCCTCAGCAACTCCCTGTCAAACCCGCTGTCTGGTGAGAGGAGATAAACAAGTTTAAAGCGAGCTCAAACTGAAAAGACAGGTACTGGGGAAAAGAAAAACACAAAAAAAAACACAAACGGAACTCAGCCTGGATTACAATGTCAGACTTTTCAAACCTGGGAAAGGTATTAATTCTAATTGTCATGACCGTGGATCTTAGTTCCAGGGGTTTTATTGTAACAAAAAACACTCAAAAGAGTGGATGTCAATACAAAGTTCAAAACAAGGCTGTGGCAAAAACTATGAACAAAGTAACAAAATAACAGTTTGTATCGTAAAATGAAAGAAAGGTATTAAGAAAATAGTCAGAAGCTGCATTTACATCCGTGGCCTCATAAATGGATTCCCAGTTGTGACAGGCAAGATCATTTTTTAAAGAAACTATAGATTGCTCCGTTACAGTTCTTCTATAAGAAACATAATCAAGTTCTTTGTTTTTATTATACTCAGTATCATATACCATAAACACTGGTAAATGATCGCATGACTAAGGCAAAGTATCAAAGTAAGAGTAAATAAAGCTATGGCAAGAGCAATAAGGTTAACAAGACTGTGGCATGGCTGTGGCAAAAAACAAGGCTATGGCAAAGTATTAAATCAAGATTAACAAAACTGTGACAAAACATGGCTATGACGTGTCAGGAGATAAACAAGTTGAAAGCCAAACTCAAACTGAACAGACAGGTACTGTGGCAAAGAAAAACATACAAAAAAAAAAACACAAACGGAACTCAGCCTGGATTACAATGTCAGACTTTTCAAACCTGGGAAAGGTATTAATTCTAATAAATTCAGTATGCTGAGACATGATACAGTGGGGGAAATAAGTATTTGACCCCTTGCTGATTTTTCAGGTTTGCCCACTTACAAAGAATAGAAGAGTGGATATCAAGTCAAAGTTCAAAACAAGGCTGTGGCAAAAACTATGAACAAAGTAACAAAGCAAGATTAACATGACTGAGGCAAAGTATCAAAGTAAGAGTATACAAGGCTATGGCAAAAGCAATAAGGTTAACAAGGCTGTGGCAAAAAACAAGGCTATGGCAAAGTATCAAATCAAGATTAACAAAACTGTGACAAAACATGGCTATGACGTGTCAAACCCACTGTATGGTGAGAGGAGATAAACAAGTTTAAAGCGAGCTCAAACTGAACAGACAGGTACTGAGGCAAAGAAAAACACACACAAAAAAAAAACACAAACTGAATTCAGCCTGGATTACAATGTCAGACTTTTCAAACCTGGGAAAGGTATTAATTCTAATAAATTCAGTATGTTGGGACATGATACAGTGGGGGAAATAAGTATTTGACCCCTTGCTGATTTTGCAGGTTTGCCCACTTATTGTCGCGGAGAGGGTCAGTTCCAGGGGTTTTATTGTAACAAAAAACACTCAAAAGAGTGGATGTCAAGACAAAGTTCAAAACAAGGCTGTGGCAAAAACTATGAACAAAGTAACA